ACACACACACACACACATATACATAAATGAATACATACATACTAAAGGGTGATACAAGGATTTTAAGTTTTCATTGATTTTTTTTTTGGCAAAATGAATAGTATTTCTTTTCGAAAGTAATGAGTGGTCCTGAAAAGGACCGTTGGGTCTTTTGTTTCTTGAGAACACACTCAAGAACGAGAAGCAATTCGCTTTAATTGCCTTATGCCTTTGCCACGGCCAAGGCCAACTTGTGGACTTGTTCTTGTCAGTGATTGAGTAGAAATTACTAATGGTGGAATCTCTGGTGTAGTCACAATGTTAGTCTGCTTGGCTCGGGAAGGTCTTTTTCTCTTCGGTCGTAATAAAGAAGTCTGATACATTTCTTTCAGATTTCTTAACTCCGCTAAAATATCCAAGAGTATCGTGACCGTTTGACTTTCACTGTTTTCCTTCTCTCCTGGACTTGCTTTCTTTTCTATTGCTTCTTCTTCTTGTCGTTTCCTTCTCGTCTCTTCTTCTTCTCGCTGTTGCTGTTCAAGCAGAAATGCTTCTTCTGCTTCTTTCTGCTGCTGTAAAAATTTCTCTAATTCTTCTTTTTGTCTTTGTTTAAAATCGTCGTTGCGTGGTAAAGAAGGAGAAATTGGTGAAGGTACTGGTGCCGGTACAAATTCTTGCGAAGAGAGAAAATCAACTAAATCCCAGTTGAAATCAACCTCTTCGGTCAGTGACTCTGTGTTCACTTTAGTAGCTGAAGCTATACCATTGCTTTTCGTCTCCGCAGCTGGTGCACCCCAATTCATTGTCTTCTTAAGTTCCGTCATGTTTGACTCAACAATGCCGCATCTATTAACTTCGCACGAACGCTAGTGAACGTATATAGGCATTGTGACGTCACAGGGAACTCTCTTCGGATTGGAAGACAGACTCCGCGAAGTGACCGAATTTTGTAACGCGTATTGGGATTGGTCAACCATTTCAATCTGTTTCGATCCAGTCTTTCCCTATAAATACAAACAGTTCACTTCATTGCCTTCACCTGTTCTCATCACACACAAAGAAGATGTTGATCACTGCTAAATCCTCTAGTTGGTTATCGTCATTGTTTTTTGATCCAGAATTACCCGTGTATGCGAAAACAAAATGGTCTGTCATCCGGATTAAAGGTGCCACTGTTTGGAAAAGAAGATGTTATGTGGAAAGACAAGGCTGTTTGAAGCGGACTCTCATCTTCGGACAAGAAGTGAGATGCAGTTTAAGACAAGCTTTGAGAAAGAAAAAAGCAATGCGATGTCCTGTATGTTAACGGCATGATGTTAAACAACGGCCCTTTTCAGGGCCACTTTCCATGCCTCGAAAAGATTATACTTTTCCATAACAAATTGCCTGTATAAGTTATAAAACATACATATCACTACATTCACTAACACGACGAACGCTTGATGTCACAGTACTTGACGAATGCTTGACGTCACAGTACTTACACATTGCTACACTGTTACCAAGTGTTCAGTACCGTGATGTCATGTTACCTGGGGCCATTTCTCTTGTCGCTATACAGACCCAGGGTGTGCTAATACAAAATTCCCCTTGTCGCTATATTACCCCACGCTGTGCCATTTGTCGCCAAAAATCTTGTCGCTATATTACCCCACGCTGTTTTTTAATGATAACTCCCATTGTCGCTATATCGCCCCCATTCACTACTAGAGTAAGATTCACTTAGTGCAATCAAGACCATTTCGGTAGCATGTGATATTAGACATGTGAAAAAGTTTCCACGATGTTCTAGAATGTGGTCACGTGACCTTATACGGGAATCTATTTTGTTTCTTAACTTAACTGTATGACCCTTGTTTTCAGCAGAAATAGCCAATTGTGCTTTAAACCTTTGAAGCTCAAAGTGTTTTGTTGTGACCAGTTTGAGTTAAAATTATCTATTTTAAGAATTAGTAATTCATTTCTCTGAAAAATCTTAAACAAAGACATTTATTGAAAATTATTTGGAATTCTTAAGTGGAATATTATTTCTTTGTGATTCAAAAAGGAACTGTTTTCAAGGCAACTTTTTATGGGTTATCAAAGACGTAATCGCATTCCATTTTGGAATTTTTTCGGGATTCAAACTGTCATTCACTTAGAAATTATATTGATAGGACTTATGTCTTTTAATTTTTGGATTAATGTTTGGATTTGATTCATATCTGTAAGTCCTTTTTCTTATTTTTACCTTGTTTTTCAAGAGAAATAAATTATTTGTTAAATTTTACAAAGCTTGTTGGCTTCACTCTTTTCTTGTTACGTTTTTGCGTGTCTGGCCACGAAACACTGTGAACTTACATTATTTTATATTACAAGGTCACACACACAAAAACTACTTTACGTAGTACTTTATCACACGTTGATAATATGGACGAATATAAAGAGCAAAGTAATGAGAATTTATTTGGACAGCATTTTGCCCCTGGCGATGTGGCGTCTCGCCCAGATTGCCAGTTTTTAAACGCGTTCTCTTTCAGATAGTAAGTACTGGATATATTTTGCAATATAAAAATAAATCTTTTGATTTCTTAAAACTATAACGAGTAAGTAAAATTTTCGTCTTATACCTTTAACCTATCGAAAATAACAATATCTTAGTTAGAAGTGAGTGTGAATTACATTTTTAACGTAACTTTAAATATTGTTTTTCTCAAACATATCGCTTAGATGTTTGCAGTGTGGCAGTTTATAGTAATGTCCAACACTAAGAAATCATGCCGTAGACACGTAGCATCATGCTCCACCCAGGCACATTATCGTGATACCAGGCCGACCAGTCCTAACGCAAACATCTTAATGCTGAGCGCCAAGCTGCTAGTACCATTTTTTAAGTCTTTGTTATGAATCGAAAGGGATTTGAAGCCGCGACCTCCCGCATCCGAGGCGGAAGTTCTAACCACTTAGGTCTCCAGAACGGCCTTCATCGTTAGAAGATTATTGATGATATAAATTACTGTTTTTTGAATTGCATAGTATTGCAAAGTTAAATTCACAAATAGAAACCGTTGCACGGAGTGAAAATTGCACCGACAACACTGACAAAACTAGGTCCTACTGTTGTTTTCCATAAAGTTTACCATGCATATTTGGTCTGTATTGTTTCAATGTAAAATCGTAATGCAATACACATCTTAGGATTGGTTTCGTTTTCTCCGCATACTTTTCATGTTTTTGTAGACTTTCTTTGTAGTTTATCCATTCTAATGCCCAGGGCATACGCTTTGTATCTTTTTTATTTGTTAAGATCAGTTTCTAATTTCGGTATGTTTTCATTTATTTAGGTTTCAGCTGCAGCAGTATACCACTTAACAGCGAGCCATTTCATTACGTTAATCTTAATTCATGTGCATCTGTTGCGGACGTTTGCGCCAAATCGGTTACTTTTAAACGCGTCAGTCTTTTGTTTGTTTTATGCACCAAATCGGTTACTTTTAAACGCGTCAGTCTTTTGTTTGTTTTATCAATAAGATCCAATAAGATCCAGCACCTCGCCGATTTTATTGACTCAAGCAATACCCTCTCTTGTATCTGGCTTAAATTTCCAACCCTCATGTTCTAATATTTTGGAAAATGTGATGACTCAGCATCTTTTATCACCGATATTTTATCGATTAAATCTATAGTAGGTAAATCTTAATCTAATCGTGTTTTCAATTATATTATTACATTTATTTGGGTTTTTTTTATATTTTCTATATTTTTTTCTCTGATAATTGATTAGAATTCTGCAGCTCAAAAATGACATTAGTTTTATATTGTTGTTCTTCTATGTAGCTTGTATGTTAAAAGGCATTTTTAACGTTTAAAATCGTAATATAAATCATTTTAGTTTGGTCCTGTTTCACTATTCAAATCTCGCTCTAACTGTTACAGTTCAAATTATAAAGTGTAATTTTTCCAGAGATGTATTTTCCCATATAATTCCCCCAAAACATCTATCTCTCTGTTTTTATTTTGATTTTTGTTTGTGGGTTTTTTTAATCTCTTCGATCGGTTGTAAATATGCATTGAACTTCATCGCCTTTGTTGAGGTCTCCATTGATGAGAACATCTGTTCTTTTATTTACTACGTCTAGGTGTATATAACGTATTTAATCTTTCATATTGATCATTGTGTTTTGTGATACTCAATTTTGCAATTGCTGCTCGGGGCCCCGAGTGGCCCAGTGGTCTAAAGCGCTGTCCATTACGGATCACTGCCATCTCACCTCTGTCTGCGTATGTTCGAGTCTAGGATTCGGCGAATGTGGATATGTGAGAAAGCTTGCCAGTAGCTTCTCGTGGGTCGGTGGTTCTTTCCGGTGATTTCCCGGTTGCTTCCTCCACCATTAATACTGGCCGCCATGAATAGCCTATCGTGTGCTGAAAAATGGCGTTAAGCCCAACAACAACAACAGCAATTGCTGCTCGGAGTGATTTTGTTTTTTTAGTTGTGCTCCAAGATTTCGACATTATCATTATATGTTGTTTCCAGTATTTGCAGTAATGTGTTCTTTGACATTCATGTCCACCTCAAGGTTGCAATAACCAAAATGTATAGAAACAGTCTTTCTTTCATTATTTTAATTGATGTGGGCGTATATGCTGTGTTTAAGTTCATCAGAATTATTGCCGCACACAAAAAAAATATATTTCTGTAATTAAATTATAGTTTCTAATTTCTGTTATTTACTGGAATTGTAAAATATACTTCATTCTCAGAAATGAGAAGAGATTAAAATAATGATTTCATTATTTTTGAGAGACTATGATGTTTTTCACGCAGCTTTAAACAATGTTTCAGTTATATTGCTACGATGTCTGCAGTGTGGTAGTTTATAATGATGTCTGGCACTGGTGCATCATGCCGCAGACGTGTAGCATAATGTCCCACCCAGTCACATTATCCTGACACCAGGCCGACCAGTCCTAACAAAAACCTCTTAATGCTGAGCATCAGGCGAGGCAGTTGTTAATACCAATTTTGTAAGTTTTTGATGTGGCTCGACTTGAGATCGAACCCACGACCTTCCGCATCCGAGGCGGACGCTCTAACCACTAAACCACCGAAGCGGTTTTCATTATTTGTTGTGACGCTCATTATAATGCGATAAAGGTTATCTAAAATCAATGGCACTTCTTTAACTTTGACTTGTGTGAAACATTTGTAAAGGAAAACTGAGTGCAGATAAAATTGTGTCACATGTAGCTACATTTTGATCTTGTGCTCGTTAAAACTTCTATTAAATCATCTAGTATGTCATCTACCATTTCGTCTGTAAAAGAATTTTCAGACAGGCGTATTTGAAAAAATATGTATTGTATATGTCATTGTATTTTTCAGATACTTGTATATTAGCAAAATCTGCCTGACACGTTGTTCAACATGACTAAAATCGACTCTTCTGTAAGGAAATGTAGTTGTATCTTGCTTGTATCATTTGTAGATTAATCTGTTATTCATTTGTTTGATTTGTTTTTCTTCAATCCAGCGTGATTTATTATCTATTCGTTGCTCGTTTAATTTGTTCACACAAATGAATCTAATTTGTGTAAGTTAAACGAATGACCTCCAGTGTCTTAGTGAAGATGCCTTAAGTAGTTCTCTTTGGATACATTCGTCTATTAACATGGATGTCATGTGATTGCATATAGCCTTTCTTAACATATAGTTTTAATGTTTAACCGACATTTTTCTCATATGTGCATATATACCATTGTACAAAAAACAAAAACACCAGAAATTTCTGGTTATGTATTACATGGCTCAAATGTGATTTCTCCGACTTGACCCATGAATATTGATTGTGAAGCGATTGGGGTTTTCTTGGGGGGGGAGGTCTGTACATACACGTCTGTGTAATGAACATAATAACCCATGTCTGCAAAGTGAACAGAAGTTTCATGTCTGTATAATGAAGAAAACAGTTTCATATATTTAAAATGAACTGAACAGTCCCATGCATGTCGTTAAAGTACACATAACAGTTTCATGAATTTAAAATGAACAGGACAACCCCATGTCGTTAAAGTGAACAGAACAGTTTCATATATTTAAAATGAACAGAACAGTCCCATGTCGTTAAAGTGCACAGAATAGTGTCATGTATTTAAAATGAACAGAACAGTCTCATGTCGTTAAAGTGAACAGAATAGTGTCATGTATTTAAAATGAACAGAACAACCCCATGTCGTTAAAGTGAACAGAACAGTTTCATGTATTTAAAATGAACAGAACAGCTCCATATTAAAGTGAACTGAACAGTTGCATGTCTCTAAAGCCAACATAACAGTTTTGTGTTTGTCAAATTGAACAGAAGAGTTCCATGTTTGTTATGTATGTAATGTTGGAGAATGGTAGTATATTTGAATGTATGGAATGTGTTCAATGTATTTAAATCTAGACTGTACTATATTTATTTTTTAAAACTGGTCTAGCATTTTCAATTTATTCACTACTAACAAGAATTGCATCTTTTCAGTGACTCCCAGGAGAAAAAAATCATTATGGGATTACCGATGAGTACTATACTTCTTGTTACTTATCAGTGCCGGATTACCCAATGTGCAGAGTTGGCACCGGTCTATGGGCTCCATGTCTGTTTCTGTTTTCGAGAAACGAAATAGGTAGAATCAACACACCAGTAATATTGGAGCATCTATGCTCCCCACCCCCACCGCCACCCTAATTCATGAATGTGGCCAAAGCAGCATGACAGTCTTTCAAGAAATATCTGAAAAAATATCCCCTTTTATCTCTTGACGTATAGTTTATATTGATATTTTTCCAGTGGAAATCGAACATTCGGCGTATAACAGCTTTGATTTAGCATAATTTAAAATATATGAAAGCGGATAATTTTCATTTTAATCCACAACCCTAACTATCGTGAGCCACTTGGATAAAATATTTGTACAGACAAATATTATAGACCAATACCCTCAATACATTTGTATAGACCAGTGTTAAATATACTAACACATATTCCTGTTTAATTCTATTGAAAACTCGCACTGTGAAATACGAAGTACTTTACCAAGCCATGGCGTTCTATCTGAGAAAGATACTCCTGACACAAACACGTGCTAATAGTTTTGAGTAACTGTCAATTATACGCTTTGAAAATTCTCTCCCTCTCTCTCTCTCTCTCTCTCTCTCTCTCTCTCTCTCTCTCTCTCTCTCTCTCTCTCTCTCTCTCTCTCTCTCTCTCTCTCTCTCTCTCTCACGTGCTAATAGTTTTGAGTAACTGTCAATTATACGCTTTGAAAACTCTCTCTCTCTCTCTCTCTCTCTCTCTCTCTCTCTCTCTCTCTCTCTCTCTCTCTCTCTCTCTCTCTCTCTCTCTCTCTCATAATATTTAGGCTGTCACCAAAAAAACTGCAGTTTACAACACCATTTTACACAAAATAGTTTGTTAAGTATAAATTGTCACAATTAGAATTTGACTCAAGTATATAAATGTTGTGGAAATTGGAACAGGTGGACGAACAGCTGTTACCGACGGTGTTTACTTTTCCCTTTCCACTGCAACAGATCCTACACTCAATTCAAATTTATATTTACAGACCTTCTAGTCACTAACGCGATTATGAGGGGGAATTTTGCGAAATAGTTTTCCTGTATTTTCCCACTCCTAGATGCAATTTAATTTAGTTCCTTTTGTGATATATGTCTATACCGGCAGTAGTTGTAACTCTGAGTTGTCGAAACAGCCATTGGAGACAGTGTTAAAACATGGTGAGATTTGCTCTTGAGGTAGCAGGTATGGTCACGAAATATATAATTTATAAAAACATAAAGCAGACGTTGCGCTATAAGTATTGATGTAAGCAATAACACAAACTATGGGTCACGTTCTTCTCGTGCAGAAATCTCGTACAAAAGTTCCAGTACCATTTATCGCAAACATAACTTTGATATATGGACGACATGAATTTCCAGAGATATAGTTTATCGTTTGAACTTTTTTCCAAAACAATGCGTGGTACAATTTAAATCTGATGATTAAATATGTAATATACAATTGTGGCATTCAATGTTTGTGTCAACTGTGTGAACAAACTGGCAATTACCTTTAATTTTTAACTAAATAATCTGAGCTTTGGACACATGTAACACACTTCTTCTGATCGATTTTGCATTTTAGTGCTATATTAATAAAGTTTTAAAAAAATGAAACACATGCACATGGAAATGCAATGCAATACTCTGTATCTGAGACTAAGAGATTGATGCGCAATTCTGGTTTCGTTTAAGGTTAGAGTTTGTGCCTAAGGCCCCAAACTTCTTAAGAATGAGTTAACCTAATCAATGTCCGTGCTGTATCCCTCTTTATTAAACACTTCTCGCTTCAACCACATATGCCATAGAAGATTTGAGTGGGATAGGTTGCGCGAAATGTAACTTATTAAACCGGTTAATGTTATCATAAAATGTTTTCCTTGTCTAACTTATCTTTATTTGCCATACGTGGTCAAAGGGCCGAACACGTGTTAATTTAAGAATGGAAAAAAGGACTCACTTTATGTGAAGAGCGGATAAGCATTGGAGAGCTATCTAATTGTCATATTTTACTTAGGAATAATACATGTCTTTCGTGCTACTTTTCTTTGATAACCATTAACAAAGACAGCCTCCTCGGTTATGGTTTATTTTTTTCGGTTAAATTAAAGTTCATATTGATTATAATTATATACTTAGGCAACAGCTTTTGATATAGACCTTGCTTAGTTATTCGGACTACACCTGTATTATTCGACCTACATAAATAGTAATCCATGTCTGATGATTAATCTCATGAAGACACTATTGTGTTTCAAAAAATTGTGGTCAGTCATGCAATCAAATGAATAGTTATCGTATTTCAGATCAATAAATCTTTCGAAATAATAAGAAATGACTAGTGACACTCAATAACGATCAGACAATAATGTCTCACTCTAACACGTTTTGAATCGCCAAAATCTTATTAGTAAAATGTCAGAATTATTCTACTTGGTTATCTCATTCAACCCGAATATCATGATTGTTCATTCCAGGATATCCGGAAATGTGTTAACTTGGATATTTTTATCGCGTTTGATGTGTAAACAACGTCGCATGGTAGTGTTAATCCTTATGCAAGTTGCCAGCCACTAAAACAAAAGACGCTAGTAAAAGGCTTGTAGTATTCACACTCTGGCGTTAAACGTTGGTTCAGATATCAAAAGATACTTCGGGAAAGCCACTGTAATTTGGCGGGGAAAGCTTCGAAAAGGTCAATAAGTTATTTGCTCGATTTTTGCAAAACATTACGACGTCATATTTGTAATTATTGGTATTATGTATACTTAATTACTGTGATTGTTTTAGTATGTAGAATTAACTTGTAGCGTTTCATTTATAAGTTTATTTGAGACACGAATTTGAGTTTACGTAGAGAATTGTGTAGATTGCTAACTCGTCAGAGTTAATATTGTAATTCGTTGTTAGGTTGCTTCGTTGTAATCAGTACCTTTAGTAATGCAATATGTTAGAATTACGCGTGTTTGAATTGGAGTTTAGGAAAATGATTGAAGTATGTAAGATTATTTGTCATAGATGTATGAATATATCACAGCATGAATATGTGTATATTTTTATGAGTTGTGATGTAAAGATATGCGTCTGATTGTTGTCTATTGGTTTGTGCAAAGGAATTATGAATATGTATTGATGTGAATTAACTTATTGTTGTATTTATACGAGTAATTGATACCGTTCTTTTATTATGTTGTGTTTTACCATACAAGAATGTATGCGTATTTCGGTGTGAATGAATGCATAACCATTAAAATGTAATAGCCTTATCTCATGATAGGCTGTGTGTAGTGTGAAATCTGAGCGCTGAGGAAAATATTGCACCATTATTGTATTGTCACGGGAAACTTTTCGGGGGACAGAACTTCCGGTGCAAGTTTCGTAGTCCCGAGTCTCTAAGAAGGAGACGGAATTGATACTGACAGTGCAGTCGGAGTCGACAACGTGTAGTCGACATAGAAAGAGGGATAGAAGTGGAGAAGGAAAGTGATCTGGAGGAGGAAATGGAGGAGGA